CTTTCACCTGCCAATCAAACCTGATAAGGCTTTTACCTTATAGGGCTGTATATGACCTTACCCAAGACACTAAATCACTTCTGAAGTCTTGTTTCTTATCCTAAGCAAACCTGCTCTCCCCATTTTTCAAGTCTATTGGCACATTCACTCTAATACCAATAAACACAGTACGCTGCACAGAAAAGCTGGGGGATCAGGCGGGGTAGAAGTGTCACTTCTTTTGGACTAATGAAAGCAATGCACATTTAAAATCAGGGCTAGTCACAGAAGAGAAAGGGTTCTGTATTATTATCTATTGGTGGAATTGGCAAGTTTGAAAGAAATTGCTGCCAATTATAGCTGCCCCATAATAGATCTAACATGAGCCATGAAGTGTTTGAGCCAAGACTGGGTAACTGGTTATATATCAGGAATATCACAGATGTCATTTCTGCATGGACTGTGAAGCTGTACTAACTGACTTTCAAAATCTTATCAGTCTTCTTTTAAGATTAATTTATGTTTAGAAAGAAATACATGCACAAAGTTTAAAAAGTCAAAAGAATTCTATAAGGCTTATAATTAGAGTGACTGCATCCAGGAACATTTCAGATTTATGCTTATTATCCCAGTGTAATTTTCACCCTTACAAGTGTCCCAGTCGGGTGAAAACCTACTGCCCCAAATCCAACCTCATCTACCCCCAAGTTCTATTTCCCAGAACTACTTTCAATTTGTTTAGAATTTTTTCTATATGCCTTCAAATTTCTAAAGCAAACAAACAATAAATTATACTACTTGCATCAGTTAAAAATTGCCTTTGAATTCAAAGATGGGGGTTGGGGAGAGAATCATTGACTTAAACAAATCGAAAGAGATACCTGGAAGGTACAGTGTTTGAAGACTTATTCATCTAAAAATGACTTTTCCTCCTTCACAGTTTGTTGGGATTCATATAGGTAGGAAAAATAATGTCACTACTGAGACATGCTATCTAGATTTCTCTTCAAAATCAGATTTGGTGCCCAAGCTGTTAGTTCTCTCTCTCATGCTCTGTCTCTGTCTCTCTCTGTCTCTGTCTCTGTCTCTCTCTGTCTCTCTCTCTCTCTCTCTCTCTCTCTCTCTCTCTCTCTCTCTCTGTGTGTAACATTTCTTATATATACGCTTAGGTTATATCAAATCTTTTCCTATTACATACAATGCTGTAGTGAATAATCTGTGTGTTAGGGCCCTATGTGTGCCTGTGTGCATGAAAAATTCCTAGGAGAGGAATTCCTAGGTCAAAATGCTCTGCAGCTATAGTTTTGATAGATGTTGGTAAATTGTCACCCATTTTATCTTGTACCAATTTGTACTTCCTTAAAAAATATATGCGAAATACAATAACTGAAATGAAGAATATATTAGAGGTAATCAACAGTAGATTAGATGAAGCAGAGGATAGAATCAGCGATTTAGAAAATAACATAGCAGAAAACACCCAACCAGAACAGCAAAGAAAAAAATCCAAAAAAATAAGGATACTTTAAGAAACCTTTGGGACAACATCAAGTGTAACAACATTCGCATCACAGGGGTACCAGAAGGAGAGAGAAAGCAAGGGATTGAGAACCTATTTAAAGAAATAATGACTGGAAACTTTCCTAGCCTGGTGAAGGATATAGACATACAAGTCCAGAAAGTGCAGAGAGTCTCAAGACAGAATGAACCCAAACAGGCCCAAAGCAAGATACATTATAATTAAATGGCAAAGCTTAAACACAAAGAATCTTAAAAGCAGCAAGAGAAAGGCAACCAGTAACTTATAAGGGAGCTCCCATATCATTGTCAGCTGATTTCTCAACAGAAACTTTGCAGGCCAGAAGGGATTGGCACAAAATATTCAAGTGATGAAAAGCAAGGATCTACAACCAAGACTACTCTACCCAGCAAGGTTATCATTTAAAATTGAAGGATAGATGAAGAGCTTCCCTGACAAGAAAAAGCTAAAGGAGTTCATCATTACCAAACCAGTATTACAAGGAATGTTAGAGGGAGTTCTTTAAGATGTGTGTGTGTGTGGGGGGGGGGAGAGAATATAAATGTGAACAATAAAATGGCAATAGCTACATATCTATCAACAATCACTTTCAATGTAAATGGATTAAATGCTCCAATCAAAAGACATAGGAGGGGGGTGGCCGGGTGGCTCAGCTAGTTAGAGCACGTGCTCTGAACAGCAAGGTTGCCAGTTCAATTCCCGCATGAGATGGTGGGCTGTGCCCCCCACGACTAGACTGAAAATGGCAACTAGACTTGGAGCTGAGCTGTGCCCTCCACAACTAAATTAAAGAACAATGACTTGACTTGGAGCTGATGGGTCCTGGAAAAGAAACACTGCTAACCAATAAAAAATTTTTAAAAGACATAGGAGGGCTGAATGGCTAAGAAAACAAAACCCTTACACATGCTGCCTACAAGAGACTCACTTCAGATAGAAAGACACACACAGACAGAAAGTGAAAGAATGGAAAAAGTTATTTCATGAAAACAGAAATGAAAAAAAAAAAGAAAGAAAGAAAGAAAGAAAAATCTGGGGTAACAATACTTATACCAGACAAAACAGACTTTAAAACAAGAGACAAAGAAGGGCCCAGTAATCCCACTTCTGGGTATTTATCCAAAGAAACCCAAAACACTACTTCAAGGGGACATGTGCATCCATACATTCATTGTAGCATTGTTTACAATGGCCAAGATGTGGAGGCAGCCTGGTGTCATGGAAGAATGGATAAAGAGGAGGTAGTACATATGTACAATGGAATATTGCTTGGCCATGGATTGGAATGGGTTCTTGCCATCTGTGGCTGCATGGATGGACCTGGGGGGTATTGTGCTGAGTGGAGTATGTCATACAGAGAAAGACAGACACAATGTGATTTCACTTATATGTGAAATCTAAACAACAAAATAAACAAATCAGAAACAAACTCATAGATACAGAAAACATTTTGATAGTTGCCAGGTGGGAGGGGGGTTGTGGGTGTGGGTGAAAAAAGGGAAGGGATTAAGAAGTACAAATTGGTTGTTACAAACTAGTTATGGGGATGTAGGGTATAGCGTAAAGAATATAATCAATAATATTGTAATAACTATGTAGGGTGTCAATGGGTACTAGATTTATTGGGTTAATAGATAGGATGGGAGGTTGGGGGCAGGGTGAAAAAGGGGAAGGGATTAAGAAGTACAAATTGGTAATCACAAAATAGTAATGAGGATATAAAGTAAAGCATAGAGAATAGAGTCAATGATTTGGTGATAATTATATAGCACCAGGTGGATACTAGACCAGTCAGGAGGCTCACTTCTTAAATTATATAAATGTCTACCCACTATGCTGTATACCTGAAATATAAAATAATATTGAATTTCAACTGTAATTGAAAAATTGTAAAAAGGGGGGAAGGTGAAGGGAACTAAGAGGTCCAAATTTCCAGGTATAAACAAATAAATCACGGGGATGTAATGTACAGCATAGGGAATATAGTCAATAATATTGTGATAGCATAGTATAGCCTCAGATGGTTGCTGGATTCATATCATGGTGGTCACTTCTTTAGGTATCTAACTGTTGACTAATTATATTGTGTACCCCTGAAACTAATATAATATTGTATGTTAACTATATTTTTCATAAAAATATTTCTTTAATTGAAAAAAGAAAATAAAGATAAATAAGCAATTACATTTTACTACCCTTTACACCCATTTGACCTAAAGTAAAATTTCAAACCCTCTAGAAGCTGAATGCTATCACCGTATATTGTGGTCAGTCAACCCAGAGTTGCCAGCAACTTGCCTGGCACCACACCCATCCACACACCTACTCACACGTGGCTAGTGACACAGCCTCGCCCGGTATCCCTGATTAAATCTATTACACTCAAGTATTACCTCCCAGGAAGAATCAAGCCATGAGGCAACGGGACAAAGGTCGAGTATGGAAAAAAGGTGGAATACAGAAAGTACTGGAAAGCTGGATACTTGAAATGGGCTGGGCTGACAGGGCATTTAATGGGAGGGAATTTAATGAGATCCTGAAAACACAGGAGCAGCAAAAAAAGGTTAGGCTGGGCTTCTACAAGAAACTGAAAAAACAAAATCTATAAGCGAGTCAAAGATAAAAACAAACTTCAATTAATTCACAACTCTGTCTCCAGCAGGATCTCCTCTTCTAGGCTTAGTGGGTGATACACCCACCGAGGGAGAGGTGCAGGGACTACGAATTAGACCAAGATGACAGAATGACCACCTTGCCTACGTCTGTGCACCTTTCCTTTATCACGTCAGCTAACGCTCACCCAGGAGGCACCGACAAAAGGAAGACCCACTGGTGGGAGGATTAAAAAGTTGTAAAATAAAGAACGACCCTGTCACACCTTCCTTCTCAGAACGGGTGGTCATTCTCGCCCCCCACCTTCCCAGCGTTCCTGCAGGCCCAATTCTAGCCTCTCCCCAAACGTAACCGTCCCTCATTCCGGTCCGTCCCAGGGGCCCTTTTCTCAGCCATCACAGAAATGCACAGTCCTGGAAGAGCAGGTTCACATTCGTTACTTGAAGGAGGTTAACTGAGGTAACAGAGGTGGGGCTAGGTCCTTGCCCGTGTGCCAGATCCGCACCCACCCAGGGGAGGAAGGGACCGGCTCTGCTAGGACGCAATCCCCGGGGCTGCGCTTGTGGAGTCCTGCGGGAGCTCCCCGCGATCTGGCCCCCATTCCAGCGAGGGGAGGGGAAGGACCGGTTGCAGGTTCTGGCTTCACCAGGGTCTCGTCCACCCCTCTACCCTTGCCTGGTGTTCTTCCTCTGCCCGGTCCACGTGAGAGAACGCCCAGACCTGGGGACACCACTAGAACAGGCAGCCCTCCAAGGAGAAAATGATGTCGCCACCAGAGGGCGCCCGTGGGCGAGGCGAGGGGCGGGGGCGGGCCCGGGGCGCAGGGGCAGGGCTAGGGCCCTGTCGGACAAGGGGACTGGGGCGGGGATGGGTGTCTGTCTGGTCCTCGCTCCTTTCTTTGGGTCCCGCATCCGGTCTTCACAGGTACCGGAGCTCCTGGGCTGGCCTCCTGAGAGACCTCTCCGAGCCGCCCGCCGCCCCCTGCCCGCCTTCCCGAAGCCCGCTGCCCCACAAGAATGCATTACCTAGTGCCGCGGTCACAGTCGCCGTCACAGGCACCCTCAACCCCACCCCCGGCCTGCCCGCGGTCCCCCTCGCCCTCCCTCACCCACACCTGCCCAGCTCCCCCGGGCCGCAGATGCGGATGAAGGCGGAATTCCACGCCCCGCAAAGGCCCGCCAGCTCTGGGGAGGAGAAGACGCGGTCCGGTGCCGCTCCCAAGCTGATGTCCCAGGTGCGTCTGAACCCCGAGGCATCGCTCCGCAGGGCGCTGATGGCCCGGGAGGCTCGGCCTCAGCTCCCCCGGCCACGGTCCTAGCCATGGCGCCTCCCTGGCGTCCCCCTCCAAGTCCAAGGCGGGGGTGGGATTCTAACCCTTTGGGGTCCCACTGATTCTCCACCCCTCTGCAAAGGACTTATCTCGCTCAGGATCCCTGGAGCCTTTAGAAGCATAGCTGTTGATTCTGTTGAATAATGAGTCTCCCTGCTTTTTAGAAAGACCTTTTTTGGGGGGCAGGGGGGTATTGGCTGAGTTTTCTTAAATAGTTATGGTTAAATTTGAGGCAAGAATTGAATTACAGTCGATATCCGCGAAGTAGTGGTCTTGTAAGGACCTACAGATGGCCCACATAGTGTTCAGACTACTTAGGAACATCTTCCACTTTGGGGATTTGTTTCAGTTGAACTTCATTTCCATACAACTTCAGTTGCTATTTATTACTCATGTGACAGACGTCTCAGGATCCACAGAAGGGCTCTCTGGGAGGAAGGAAGCCCCTGAATTCTGTGCAGCGTTGAGCTGAACAATTTAGCAATACAAAGCATGTTTCCTGCCTCCCCTGGCCGGGAGAGGGTCAGTGTACTAGTGACCAAGTCAGTGGACTCCCCAGCCAAGTGTGCCCTCCTTTTCTTTTCCAGATTGTGCCTTTTTAGCCAAGACACATGGAGGTCATTCACCGCAGGCCCTACTGTTGCAGGGAGCTGGAAGGAGCTGACATACTGTCAGACACCCTCTACTCTAATGAACTGCACACTCCGCTACAAACAGCTATTCGCCCAACTGCCTCAGAGGACAGGTAAAACAAAAACTAGAGAAAGCAACATTAAAAAGAGTTTTAATATATTTGTATATTTTTATATGTGAGGGGAAAAAACACTTAAGGTTATGGGACTCTTCTGTTTATCACATCATAGGGAAGGCATCACATGACAATTAACTAAACCTTAAAGTGTCCACAGCTGTTAGAACTTGATAAAAAGTAAGTTTGTGTGTCTTTTTTAAAGGTAGACATTAAATTCATTCACTACATTCTAGAACTCTAGAATGATTGGTTCCTTCATTTGGAAATTAATGTTTCAATTCTTTTTTTTAATAAAGAATAGTGTATGATTCCTTATCATCTCCTAACACCATCTGGTCAAAAATCTTCCCAAAATCTGTTGTTCATAGCTGCAGTCTACATTTTTGCTTTTACCAAATTTCCTGTAACACATTAACTACAGGTTATGATTTAAAAATTGCTTCTAACATACATTGAGTGATTACTATGTGTGGGCACTGTACCAGACGTTTTCTATGTAGTAATTCTTTTACTCACTCCTCCTCACAACAACCCTATGAGATAAGTACTACTAGTATCCCCATTTTATATATGAAGTAACGGGTACAAACACATAATTTTCAAAGATGTTAGTGCCAGTTTTTGGTATTGTATTTAACTTAAATCATTTTGAGGGGAAAAAAAAATTCTCAAAACACTTGGGTGGTAAAAAAAAAAATACCTGTGTAGGTGTTTGTCTTGTTTTGCTTGTTTGTTTTGCTTTTTAGTTCATTTGGTCAAACCCCTCATTTAAGAATTATTTCTTTAAGAAATCAGACAGGAAGTCTCCTAGCCTTAAACACTTCCAAAATGGGACATCACTACCACGCAGGCAGGCCATTCCAATTTGGAATGCTCCTGATTGTTAGATAATTTTTCTCTACCGAGAACATTTTTCTTCCTTGTAATTTCTACCTGCTGATCCTGGCTCTTTCCTCTAAAGCCATGCAAAATAAGAAAAATTTGTCATCGCCATGATTGCAGCCCTTCAAAAGTTTGAAGATTCTTTTGGCTCTCTAAGAGTTCTCTATGCCAGACTAAACACTGGTTCTCAACAGACTTGACGTTTCTTTTTCTTCTTGCATCTAGGCTTTCACTGTCTTGATCAGACTTGCATAAGTCTATTCCAATTTGTAAACATGCTCTTTATATGAAAAAGGAGATTTTTTTTCTCCTAATTAAAAAAAACTAGCACATGTTTCTTATAAATAATTTAGAAATCATGGAAATCCACAAAATAAATTTTCCATTTTCCAATAGAAAAAAAAATGATGAAATTAAAGCACAAGGAAGAAAACCTCTGTACTTCCTATACCCAGGAATAATAACCACTGTTAACATCTTGATAGGTGTCTTGCCTATTTTTTTAAATGTAAAGACCACATTCAACATATTTCTGTAAACGACTTTCACTTAATGAAAAGGAATATTTTCATGTTTGTGGGAGAAAGAACTCAGCTGACTTAGACCTTGCTGCACCTACTCTTGTAGTGCTACCTGATTCCCAAAAGTGGCTGTCAGCCCAGAATTCCTTCTTAGCTCCAAGGGCATAACTTCCCGTGAGTTGGAGGAAACGCTTAGCAGATCACGTGTGATCTGGTGACAAGCAGCTGAAGCTAGCTCAAAAGCAGCAATGTGAGGTTTTATATTTCACCAGAAAGGATCTGAGTAGGAATTTAGGGCTGCCATTTCTGATTCACTTCTCTATCCACTCAAAAGTACTCATCTAAGGCTTTTCACTGAGAATTCGATGCCTCCTACCTAAACGGTCCTATGGTTGGTTAGTAATTGTCTCCAAACCCCTTTAACTAGCATGAAATTGCAGAGAAGCATCTTTGAGAAAGTAATTGCTTTTCACTAACTGTAACCTGAAACACATGTTCAGTTACCTATAAACTACAATAAGGTATTGAGGCAATATCTAGGTGCAACCATGTTTCTGGCTTCTAATAGCTAAAGCTTGCTTTTCCTTTTATTCCATGTGAATTCTTTCACAGTCTGCAGGTGGGAAAGGCTGAATGATCGTGTATTCTCAGAACCCCTCCTATTAACTCCCTCCTAAAAAGCAGTTGGGCAGCTTACAGGAATAGAAGTTCACTCTTCTCTCAGTTATTCTTCTGAACTGCTCTGGAAAGTGTCATCAGGGTAACGCTGGTACTTCTGCTCTATCCGTGCTGAGACTTTTCTTCAGACCGGGTTCAGAGTCTATGGCTCCCAACTCAAGTAAGTCTCAAAAGCAAGACAAAATAACAATCTCCTAGCTCGTAGGCATTACCTTTCACAATGGTAAGGATGAACATGAGTCCCAGCATATGTTAGTTCTCAGCAGCTGCATTTTCTAAACATGGATGGACTTAAGCGGATGCCTTTTTTAAATGTCATCATGCATTTTGAACTAGCTTGGCAATTTTAACAGAAAAGCAAAATGATTTTCTCACATCAGCCTACTATTTTTTATCTTCCCAGAATAGGTAATGCAGTCTAGCACCACTGATATCCAGCTTTGGTATGCAGACAGGGTACATCGAAATCACCGGAGAAGCTCCATCTGTAGATATTCTAGGTCACTAGGTCTGAGGCGGGTCTTAGGGAATCTGCATTTTTACAAGGTTTTCAGCTTATTTTGAGAACCATTGGGCTAGTGGAAAGCACTGAAAACAGTTAAGAAAACCAGGATTATGGTTCTGGCTTACCCATCGACTAAGGGCTAGTTAATCTTTATACTTCAATTACTTTTTTGCTGATATATTTTGGACCAATTAATATATATATATATATATATATATACACACACACACACACTATATTGTATATATATATATACACGCACACTATATTATATATATATACACACACTATATATATACACACACACTATATATAT